GGGGGGAGGGGGTACGAGGAAATGTTTGGCCAAGTCGCTGCGGTAAATATGGAAGTCGGTGGGAATATGCGATAAGCTCGGTGAGCTTCCTCTCCCCACTTCACCTCACCTCGACGTGCAACCTACCCCCTCCAGAAGAGCTGTCTCGTCTCTATCCCGGATGTCCTCGCAGTGCTTGCTGGCGTACTCCCTGCTAGGAGGCGTGCGCAGGCAGTCATCATGGGACCAAACCACCCCACCGTTTTGGATTTCGACTCGCCATGATTCTCCTGCTTTTGCTCCACAACGTCCCAGAGCCCCCCTTCCCCCCGGTCCTCCGCCACGCCCCGCCTCGTCCCACGCCGGGCAGGGCAGGCAACTTTAAATGGGACTCTCTCCTAGATTTCCAAGTCCCTCCCCAGACCGAACCAATATGCTGAGAGGAAGGCCAGGGCCACCGGCCAGTGCGAACGCTCTCCCCGGGCTCACACAAACACCCCTCCACCCTTCCCTCCCTCTCGCTCACACGTGCCACACACAAACGCGCACACAGAGCTGAGAGTCTTCAGCATCCGACGCGAAGGTCGAAGGGAAAAGGGTTTTGAAAACGTCGGTATACACAATCTCCTGAACACCCTTCCTGACAGGAGTTGGGCCATGTCGCAAAAAATCCCATTTTACAATAATAAACAAGTAAAAAGAAAAGCACAGGAAGTATTTTTACCGCTATAGGAGTGAAAAGAATTCGGCACAACCCCCCTTTTCCGAACTGAAAAAGGAAACAACAAAATTCGGACAAAACAGCGAACAGGGCAGCCAGCCACACCTAGCTTGGCAGTCCAACCTGCTCCCCTAAACTCGCGATGCCTGGGCGGGACTGGGCGGGGCGCCGCAGACCCTAGTCCGGTAAACTTCCACATTCCCACCAACTACTTGGCCAGAACACGTTGCCCTCGCCGCCCCTCCCGCTTCCCAATCCCCCTTCCCCTCCCCATTTGATCTGCTGGCGCTAACGGCGGGACCGGAAATTGGATCACAATCGAAATGCAAACGTACGAGTGTGCGGCTGGCAGCAAATCCAGAAGGACTTGTGCTGCGCGCTGCGCCCGCCCGCCCGCCGCCTGCGCTGCATCCTGGTCTGGAGAGTCGGGGCGGAGGGCGGCGCGGGGCGGGAGAGCTATCGAAGGGGGCGGGGGGAGAGGACTGCGGAAGCCCTGCTGAGCGGGTACCTAGGGCCAAGGCGCCGAGGAGGTACCAGGAGGGTGAGGGGTGGTCGGTACCCTACGCCCGTTACTCACGGGGCCGAGAGAAGGAGGGAGGGGAGCGGGGAGAGATACCTGCCAAACCGCGGCAAACACTGCTGATTTGGTCTCGTCTCGAGCAACCTGCAGGTAACAGGGAGAAGGGTAGAGGGCGGGCGGGGTGGTGAGGGTGCGTTAGCGGTCGGCCCTCAGAACCAGTATTTCCTCGCCTATGTGGAGAGGGAGTGAGAAGGAGGGAGTGAGAGAGGTACGAGGGAAAGGGGGGAGGGGGGCAGGGAGAGGGTAAACCGTCATCCCGTGATCTTGGTTAAGCGCGCCGGGCAAACTTTCTGTATAAACCGCGACATCGCCTCGTTGCTCCGCCAAACCGCAGCAGCCAGCGGCAGCAGCAGCGCTGGCT